CCTTTTATTGTGCACCAAACGTGTAATATCAGCCCAAATTGTATGGAATTTTGCACATACAACCAAATTAGGCCTGAAAATGTGTATGCCAAATTTGATCGAAATCGGTTCAGATATAGCTATAGCTCCCTTATATATTGTCCATCCGATTTGTTATTTTTGTCCACCGCTGCCGTAATATGCACTCTGTAACAACAATATTTAGGGAAATATATCAAATACAGCTCAGAAATACATTTCCAAAATTTTATAGACATCGGTTCAAATTTGGATATAGCTCCCATATATAACTTCGGCCGATTTACCTTTTATTGTGCACCAAACGTCTAATATTTGTCCAAATGGGATGGAATTTGGCACATACGACCGAATTGAGTCTAGAAGCTAGTATGTCAAATTTGGTGAAGATCGGTTCAGATATAGCTATAGCCTCCTTATATATTATTCATCCGATTTGTTATATTTGTTACCCACAACCGTAATATGCACTCCGTAACAACGATATTTAGGGAAATATATCAAATACAGCTCAGAAATATCTTTGCCAAATTTTATTGAGATCGGTTCAGATTTGGATATAGCTCCCATATATATTTATCCGATTTCAAATTAATTGTGCACCAAATGGTCAATACAAGTCCGAATTTAAAAGATACAAATGCTTCGGCATATTTCGTCCTTTGAACTTTAAATTATAATTATAATCATAGCGTGTATGATTGAATTCTCCCATAAAAACTTTTAATTGTTATGTGAAGCTCTACTAAATTAGCAAAGTGGTGTAGGGTATCATAAAGTCGGCCCCGCCCGACTTTAAGACTTTCTTTACTGGTTTTTTATTGATTCGTTTTTGAATATTGTAATGGCTTATGACAAAAGTTACCTATGCAGGTTCATGTCGTTGTATAGACCCTAATATGACAGCTACATTCGGTATTTTTAGGATTTTAACAGCATTTTTAACGGATTTTATTGTTTTTGAAAATCGCCAAATTCGCTCCAAATGGTGGAGGTATTCAAAGATCGGCCCAGCCGAAATTAAAGCTTCTTTTTTATGGAATACGAGTTTTTAAAAACTCTTCTCAACCCTAAATCAACTCTAATGTTAAATTTAGGATTTCAAGCACTATCCGACGTACTGTTAGAATTTTGAAAAACCCTTTAGTTTGTCTATCCTACACAACATCAAAGACTCTCACTCCAAACTTCCAGCTCTATTTCTTCCCCAAAACCCGAAGTTATTATTTCCAAACTTCAGTGTATGTAATTACAAATTGGGTTTACCCAAACCCAAATTGTACAAATTCACAAAACTACCTGCATATCCAAATCCTACACTCCAAGAGTAATCTTATTTCCAAATTTCAGGATACCAGCTCTATTGGCTCACCCAAATACAAACCGTTCACATGATACGAAATGTTACCATTTATATATATACACTTTAGTACTTTTCGTACAATATAAGTGCGAATTTCCAAAACACCAGCTTAACATTTCAAGATTCTATCTTCAGCTGTTTCGTCTGGGCGTTGATGAATCGCTAAGTCAGTCAATCAATTACTTTACTCCTTTATTAATAAAGATATCTCAGTTTCCGATGTTCTTCAAACTTTACATATCCCAATTAGACAACAAGACATATCGTACGCTAGTTTGATTTGGCGGTTCATTCCTTTTGATACCTTTCCCGAAATTATAATTTAGCATTTCAGCTTCTAAGAGGAATACAAACCATAACTCTCGAAGGGAATATCCGATATGGTCCAAACTTGGTCAAATTTAGATCAACATCGGAAATGGTATCGGTCCTCTTCTCAACAAAAAGTCGAAATTTTCAAAGAAAATAATTTACCGCATAGAAAGGGAAAGGATAAGTTGATTTTGTGCAAACTTCGTACATACCAATATTTTTGGCAATGCTAGGTCAGGTGCTAAAATGGACAATTCTGGTCCACTCCAACAAGTACCTCCCCCACAAAGGGTCAAAATTTCGAATAATTGTAACTCTTATAAAATGTGAAATAAGAGTCCGATTTTCTTCACATTTTACACATTCAAAAATTTTCTAAGCAAAAGATACACCGGATCACTTCTTCTGAAACCTCCCCCACAAAGGGTCAAAATATTCTGAATAACCATTAAGCACATCAAACGCAAAATGATCAACCGATTACTTTCAAACTAGGCTCATCCCAATACTTCCATCAACACAAGATGTGTTGTGATATCGGACTACTCCTTCTGGTACCTCCATCAACTAACTCTCATAAAACGCGAACTTTTCACAATATTATATCAAACTTATATCAGACACAAAATGGAAACTATTGGCCAAATCCTTCGGAACCTCTCCTATGAAGAGTTAACAGTTTGAATGATCATAAAGCAAGTCAAAATATATTTAAATAACCGAACATTGGCTGAGGATATGCAGCTGTCGGCAATACCGACTGATTCCATTTAACTTATTTTTAGACCTTTAGGTCATCCTATTTAGCGTATATTTCGACATAAATTTGAACAAATGTCTTTTTTACATTTTATGTAAAGTTTATACAGAAGTTTTATTAAGTGTATACGAAACGGATTTCCCATAAAAGTCTATCAAAATATAAAGATAATAAATGTTCCCACAATACTACAATGAGCACGTCCCCTACATATGCACAATCCTTGGAGAAGCGACAAGGTCTCGTAAGAAGGACTTACGAACAGACTTAGTTACCTTTTTCCGACTACCTTGTTTGCCTTCTCAATATGAAAATATGGATATTGCAGGGATAAAACTTGATAATATATTTGGTTTTATGAGAGATAAACTCTTCATCATCTTTAGCAGACCATATAAGTAGGTAACAATTGAACTTAGGCCCCATATCACAAATATTTGGTGCACGCGCGCTCCTGTTTCAAGTGCATCATGCATTTGTAATGTTTCTTTATTTATTTTTTTTTTATTTGTTGCTGTTGTTGTTTTTGTTTTAAGTCAGACTGTCTGGCCTGGCCTGGCCTGGTCTGGTCTGGCGAGGCAGACTTGGTCAGATCGTTTGTGCCTTTGGCCTACTAAAGCCCTCAGTTAACTTGAAATGTTAAATGATTTGTTGCTGTTGCCACTATTTTTGTTGTTTTTGTTCTTGTTCGCATTGTTGCAACAACAACAGCATCATCATTTTAGCCAAAAACAAAATCAACCATCAACAATTTAAAAGACAAGCAGTCTAGCCACAGGTCTCATGTCTGTCTGTCTCTCTGTCTGCTGGCATGTGAAAGGGCTATTAGGCTGGAAACGCATACAAAAGGTATGTACATACGTGTGTACGCGTGTCACGATGTCTGGTCCACATTTGTCTGTCTGTCTGTCAAAAGCTGAATGTATAAATTTAAGAGACCTGCAGCAAAAACAACAACGATCGCCGTCATCATCATCGCCTTCGTCTTCGTCGTCGTCAAAACAACGAAAAAAGCCAGACTCAACTTAAGTCTGTTGTCTGCATCTTTAATAACATCACCTTTGTCTGTCTGCCATGTCTCCGTCCGTCCATGGGTCTGTCCTTCCTTCCCAACATCTGACTGGCATAAGTATAGGCTGGCCGATTGTGTGCATTGCAAATTTCAACTCTAGACATTTTGCAGACAGACCCTCAGCTCAGCTGCACTTGTTACGTTTTATGTGTTTCGTTTTTTTCGTTTTTGGATTGTTTGAGTTGTGTGTTGCGTCCGTGTTGTTGTTTGTGTATTTTAGGCATATATTTTGTTTTGATTTGTTTATATCTTTTTATTTTGCCAAGATGCTAAACAATAATCGTTCAAATACACGCCTACTTGACACAAAAAGGGAACATATTTTCATGCTTCAATATTTACCAGATGTGCAAAAAATCGTCCTGAAACCCAGATTATTGGGGCTTGAAGGGTGTTAATTTTATAATTTTATAACTCTATAAGAACCTACCGTATCGAATGGCTTCCAAATGCTTTTAAAGAGACATAAGTGCTTTTGAAATATCTTTTCACTTTTAATCATTATTAAAAGTTCTTCGGCCTATGTAATATGTTTAAGGCGTCATATCTATCAAGAAATTTTGAATGGTTTTTTATACAGGCCTATGAATGCAGACAACTCATTATAAAATATTTAATAAAATTTAATAATTTAATAATTGGCATGACCAGTTTGCAACATCAAAATACTTTGGTACCCCGAACAAACATGCCAAAACTGTTATATTTTATTTAACTTTGGTGATTTTTTTCACTTTACAACACTATGTTTTGGGAGTATTATATTCAAGTCGCTCTACTACTACTAGAGTGTAAATATAAGGAAAATATCCCTGATAAAAACTATTATTTCAAATAATCTACTAAAATGTGTTTGAACCGAAGGAGGTTTTCCAATATATTAAAGTGATGTGGGGTATCACACAGACATATACCCGCATGTCTATAGCCTTTGCTAACTTGTTGTGATGGATGCCTAGCTTTTTAATATGGGAAAAAAGGTTTTAGACCTCACATCTGTGTCGTTCGTATATTTGGATACTATCTAAAAAATAGTAGTACACCGATTTCGAGCTAAATTTCTCAAGAAGTGGATAAGTGGATCACCCTTTCGTTTAACCCCTGTCGTAGAGTTAGTTTGCTAATTTTTATTCAAATCTTAATATTGGATATGGCCCACTCCACGGAAAAATCAACAACTTCTTTCTGATTTGTTCATTTTTATGCTAGTGTCGAACAAAATCAGACCAGACAAAAATGCGTTTAGGAGATATACGGGAAGTATTTTAAAATGTTCCCAGTCTAGAAAAGGGCTTAATTGTAAGATCAATCGCTTATACAAAAAAATAATCTGGCAACTCAGCAATAGCAATGATTGTTACATCCTTTTAAAAAATGCATGTATTTTCCATGCTAACAAACAAATTAGCTTCTGGTCTTTGCAAAGCAAATTTCAGATGCAATTTTTGCGTGATGAAAAAGAACTCCCTACAATTATGGCCAGACATTGACAGGACACTTTGTATGTTTGGGTTGTCAAAAGAAGAAGAACCAGTAGTAGTCCATTTAAACAAGAATTTTAAATTGTGGAGAAAAATGATTGCAGTTCGTTATGGTGAACAGAGAGTGGAAAGAAAGATCGAGGATGTTCTACGTAAAACACATGCATGTATTACCTCCAACAATATCTGTGTAAGATCCAAGCATATTCAAATTTTGGGATTTATATCAGATATTCTAATATTATGCTATATGCAGATGGGATAACCCATTGACTAAAAATTTTAAATATAAAATTAATATACCTTATTTTTCCATAGTTAATTCGATTATTGCACAATTGTACTCACCAGAATATCAGTCGAATGAGATACTTGAGTGAAGATGAACCATGATATGTCAGAGCAAATTCAGAACACTCCCGCAAGCGTACACATAAGCCTCTGACGTTGATGCTTTCACAAATAAATTAGACTTTCAAATCAAAATTTGAGACCAGACGTGTGCATGACAATACAAGAATAAAAAAATAAATAATTGAATGAAAATAAAAGTATTTTTTTTTTCTTCGTCTCATAACTTTTTTTCTCCTCGGCGTGGCGTTTATCTTTTATTTGATTAGGCAGCATACCAAGCGGACGATGGAGGACGATGAGAATTGCGAAATTTGTAAACAAAAGCACAACACCAAAAAGTCACAAACAAATAAACCATTTTGTTGTTATTTCTAATAAGTTTATTTTCAATTTAATTTTGATTTCCAATTTGTGAGACTTTTTTGATTTTTTTGTGTCGGCGTGTGTCTGTGTCTGGGACTGTCAAAATGCACAATTATTGTGTCGTTCTCTGGATATTGAGCATAATTTTTATTGACAACGTCCTTGATGGGCGAGACATGGAATTTCCGTATAGCTGTTGCATGTCTTCTAAATTCGGTGCAAACAACAAATCAGCGGCCACAATGCAAATTCATTAGAACGAAGTGTGGAAATGTGCGTCTTTTTCGGTTTTGTTCGGCAAAAATTTGTTTGTTATTGTCGTAAATTGAAGGACATATTTTGCATATCCAATTGATCATATAATCTAATATAGGTCATAATGAATATTTATGATTGTCATCTGCATTGAATACCACCACTGAGGTGCATGGTATTATGTCTTTGTGCATTTGTTTGTTAAATAAAAAAGAAGACAAGATAGACACGTAGTTGTTTTTAAAAATCTTCTTCGAATTGCATTTGAAGAAGATATATTTAAATCGGTCAGTACGGAAAAATTGAGATGAAATTTGAATTGGGATTAGGAATTTTAGACAATTCCCTTGAATAATGTGGCGCAAGTCTCCAAATAAATAGTGATATTCAGTGACGTAGCTAGAAATGGGTTTGGAAACAATATGGGAAGGAGGGTGTCGCAATATTAAAAGCTAAAGTGTTCATATAAGACTAGCAGCGAAACTTCATCATAAAATTTTAGATTCGTCTCAATAGTTCGTGTAAGGCTTTTTAGAAATCAATATGCACAATTTGTTCAATTTGATTGCATTTTTTAATCAAAACTTTTTACATCGTACTAAATTTTCAGACTTTTTTAAGTTCTTCCTTATTCGGAAAGAAAGCTAGGAAAAAGTTTACCTTTTCGACCAAAAATTTTTCAAAAATTTTAATTTTTTTGAGGAGGATATTATCCCTTCATACAAATTTAGTAACATTTTGTACGCTTATCCAAAACAATATATCCCTCTCCATTCTAGACAAAAAAAAAACCAAAAATTTTTTACTTTACGAAAAATTATAGTTCACATTTCAAAAACCGCCACCAGCTACCAACAGAGACCTCAATATTAAATGTCGTGATTTCAGCTCTATCCCTTCACTCATTACCAAATTTAGTAACATTTAGTACGCTTATCCAATGCATTCTACCGCTCTCCTCCTAGACACAACAGTGATCTAAAAAAGTACCATTTAGTACTTTTCAAGCATTTGTACTAATACAGGGTTGCCCATATTCGACGGACCCATCTGGCAACGCCATAACTTTTGACAGAGATGTCACTTCGCTTAATGACATACCGCGTTTGAAGCGTCATTCCAAGCAGATTTTTGCCATGAACCAATACACGCCACGCGAGCGCTCTGAAATAGTCGAAATTTACATTCAACAGAAGAAGTCAATTGTGAAAACTCAACGTGCTTTTAAAACATTAAAAGAAGAAGTACGCCTTCTAAGAACACCATTAAGCGTTTATACGAAAAATTTTTGACTGGTAAGGCTCTTTCTAATCCTAAGAGGCCATATAAAAGTCGACCAAGGTGATCGGCCGAGAATATCGCTGCCGTACGAGCCAGTGTTGAGAGGTCCCCAAGAACATCTCAAAAAAGCCTTTCTCAGCAGTTGGGCATGGCTCGGTCCACTTTTGTTCCCGTACAAAATTCAATTGACGCAAAGAATGTTGCCAGCGGACAAGCCTCGTCGAATGGAATGGGCCCATGGGTCCGTCGAATATGGGCAACCCTGTATTATACGGATTTGAAAAAAAAATACCTCCATATCTTAACAACAGACACCTTCAGTGGCAACTATATCAAATTTCATGGTAAAATTTAGTAACATTTTGTACTTTTCGTACAATTTTAGTCATTTGCCAAACCGTTCCATATCTTAATCCAAGAAATATAAAATTTCACCGTTTCAGTTCTACCCCTTCACCAATACGCAATTTAGTTTCATTTGTTACTTTTCGAACAATTATAGCACGCAATCTCCAAATCCCAGATACCAACAGTTATCAAATTTCAGACTTTTTCTATATATACCTTCAACCGAGACCAAATTTAGTACCATTTAATACTTTTCATGAAATTATAGAACGCATATCTTAACCACAGACACCAACAGTGATGTGTATAACAAATTTCAGGATTCCAGCCCTAGCCCTTCACCCAATACCAAATTTGGTACCATTAAGTGCTTTTTGTACAATTATAGTACACATTTCCTAAACAACTTCCATATCTCAATTCCAGACACCAACAGTGACAAATTTAAGGATTAAAGTTCTATTCCGTAACCCAATACCAAAATTTGGCATAATATAGTACTTTTCGTACACAGTTCTAGAACCAAATTCCAAATACCAAGAGATCTCAATATTCAATTTGAGGGCCTAGTACGTTTTTTTAATAAACATGGGACACATTTCCAAACATCCGCCAAATCTCAAAGACAGTACCCAAATGTCAGAATTTTATCTCTATCCCTTCATAAAATATATATTACCATTAAGTACTTTTCGTACAATCAGAGTACACATTCCCGAAATTAACTCCACATGAACTGCGACCCTAATACAAGATTTCAGATTTTGAGGCACTATCTCTTCACCCAACACCACGTTGATATAAAAAACTGCAACAAAGTCAAAGGCCATAATTTTTACAATTATTTTTAAATTTTATTGAATGAAAGCAAAAAATTTCGGAAATAGCATCAAATTCAGAATAAGTCTAGATTTCTTCGAATTGGTCACATTTAGCACGAATTATGGCCTTCAAATGGCCAATGAAACCATCACACGCTGCCCGAATGTTTCTCGGTGGTATTTTGGGTCCATTCCCGGCGAAGCGCTTGTTTGAGGTGATCGACACTTTGGTATTTTATAGTGCTTCCCAAAATACTCCAGACACAATAGTCCACCGGATTGGTATCCGTAGATTTTGGTGGCCATTGTGCGCTGGAAATAAAGCGAGGAATCTCATTTTGTAAGCGTTCTTGGGTGGCGCGTGCGGAGTGCGATGGTGCTGCGTCTGCAAAGTCTGAGGTCAAAACAAACTCCAGAATATTTTCGGCATTTATTCTGATGCTACGGTCGATTAATACGAGCGGAGAGCGACGATCGGCTGTTAAGGCGGCCCACAGCATCACCATGGCCGGCGCTTGAGTTCTGGTGGCCAACCGAAAATGCACATTTTCCGTTGATCTCAGCTCACGAGTCATTTTTCGACCACTGCGACGCGGGTTTCGATCAAGTCGCTTCTTTACTTTTCGAACCATTTATGCTGATGTTGCTTTTTATACCCTACACCACAAGGTGGTCAGGGTATTATGTCTTTGTGCATTTGTTTGTAACAGGCAGAAGGAAACGAGATAGACCCATAGTTCCTTTTGATGATCTGCACAGAATTACATTCTGAGTCGATTTATGCATGTCCGTCCGTCCGTTTGTCCGTCCGTCTGTCCGTCCGTCCGTCCGTCCGTCCGTCCGTCCGTCCGTCCGTCCGTCTGTCCATGTATTTTTGTAAACAAAGTACAGGTCGCATTTATTGCCCGATCCAGATGAAATTTTGCAAAGATCTTTTGTTTGGCCCAAGGACGAACCCTATTGAAATTGGAGATAATCGGTCAAAATTTAGATATAGCTCCCATATATATCTTCGTCCGATTTGCATTTTATTGTGCACCAAACGTGTAATATCAGCCCGAATTGTATGGAATTTTGCATATACACCCAAATTAGGCCTGAAAATATGTGTGCCAAATTTGATCGAAATCGGTTCAGATATAGCTATAGCTCCCATATATATTTTTCATCCGATTTGTTATTTGTGTCCACCGCCGCCGTAATATGCACTCTGTAACAACAATATTTGGGGAAATATATCAACTGCAGCTCAGAAATACCTTTGCTAAATTTTATCGAGATCGGTTCAGATTTGGATATAGCTCCCATATATAACTTCGTCCGATTTACCATTTATTGTGCACCAAACGTCTAATATTTGTCCAAATGGGATGGAATTTGGCACTTACGACCGAATTGAGTCTAGAAGCTAGTATGTCAAATTTAGTGAAGATCGGTTCAGATATAGCTATAGCTTCCATATATATTATTCATCCGATTTGTTATATTTCTTACCCACAACCGTAATATGCACTCCTTAACAACGATATTCAGGGAAATATATCAAATACAGCATGAATTCTCCCATAAAAACTTTTAATTATTAAGTGGAGCTCTACTTAATTAGCAAAGTGGTGTAGGGTATCATAAAGTCGGCCCGCCCGACTTGAAGACTTTCTTTACTGGTTTCTTCCATACACTTCCTTGACATCGGGCTACGCTACCTGTATCACGCTGTTGTAAGAAAATTTATCTCGTTGAAAAGATATTTAAGCTAAATTGTAAAAGTTATGAACAAATATCTCATACATGGTAGATTGAAGAAGATAAAGTCATTTCAAATAAGCATATCCATCCCTGCATTTTTCGTAGCTTACCTTGTCAAATTAGACTGTGTAGAAATCTTGTTCCCATCTCTGATGTTTATACCCTACACCACAAGGTGGTCAGGGTATTATGTCTTTGTGCATTTGTTTGTAACAGGCAAAAGGAAACGAGATAGACCCATACTTCCTTTTGATGTTCTGCATAGAATCACTTTCTGAGTTGATTTATGCATGTCAGTCTGTCCATCCGTTCGTCCGTCTTTACATGTATTCTTGTGAACAAAATGTAGATTGCATTTATTATCCGATTGAGATGAAATTTTCCAAACAACATTTGTTTGGTCCAAGGACGAACCCTATTGAAATTGGAGATAATCTGTAGAAATTTAGATATAGCTCCCATGTATATCCTCGTCCGATTTGCCTTTTATTGTGCACCAAACGTGTAATATCAGCCCGAATAGTATGGAATTTACACATGCAACACATACAACCAAATTAGGCCTGAAAATAAGTATGCCAAATTTGATCGAAATCGGCTCAGATATAGCTATAGCTCCAATATATATATTTCATCCGATTTGTTATTTTTGTCCTCCGCAGCCGTAATATGCCAATATTTGTAACACCAATATTTGGGAAAATTTATCAAGTGAAGCTCAGAAATACATTTGCTAAATTTTATCGAGATCGGTTCAGATTTGTATATAGCTCCCACATATAACTTCGTCCGATTTACCTTTTATTGCGCACCAAACGTCTAATATTTGCCCAAATGGGATGGAATTTGGCACATACGACCTAATTATGTCTGGAAGGTAATATGCCAAATTTGATGAAGACCGGTTCAGATATAGCTATAGCTCCCATATATAGTGTTCATACGATTTGTTGTATTTCTTACCCACAGCCGTAATATGCACACTGTAACAACAATATTTGGGAAAATATATCAAATGTAGCTCAAAAATACCTTTGCAAAATTTTATCGAGATCGGTTCCGATTTGGATATAGCTCCCATATATATCTTTATCTGATTTCAAATTAATTTTGCACCAAATGGACAATACAAGTCTGAATTTAAAAGATACAAATGCTTCGGCATATTTAGTCCTTTTGATTTTAAATTATAATTATAATCATAGGGTGTATGATTGAATTCTCCCATAAAAACTTTTAATTGTTATGTGGAGCTCAACTAAATTAACAAAGTGGTGTAGGGTATCATAAAATCGGCCCCGCCCGACTTTAGGACTTTCTTTGCTGGTTGTATATACAATGGATTTGTAAATAAAAATTTTGAAAATGATATGTTGTCCAAGGGATTATATTGAAAAAATTATAGACATAAGATTGTATGACTTTACCTTCTTAATTCTAACATGATCTCGTATATTCGCATATTCTCTTTACTATTTTTTCCTTTACAAATATTACCAAATATTACCTAGTTATCCCTTTTTTTTTGCTTTACATTGAAGAAAACTGAGCTTTGCCACAGTTTATATCACACAATCAAACAAAGTTGCCCAGTCTATAATTTTGAAAATTATTTTTTCTACTTTAAAAAGTAAAATAAATTACATTAGCATACCCTTAAGGATGTTGTCGCAAAACACAAACAATCACCATCTAGCCATATTGATTGCTCCCCCATGTCATACTGACAAACTAAATGTTATCACCGGCAACGTAACCATAATTGTTGTTGTCAGTGTTAACATTGCCACCTTCGCCACCAGCATGTCTAGACCTCGTCAGCATGTGAAACATGTGGTCAGACTGTCTCTCTGTCTTGTAGTACAGACAAGTTGGCTACATTCCTCCGACATGTATGGAATGACAGGCACGTGCCTCATTGATGAAGAAAATCTATTAATAAATATTGGACATATTGAGACATACCATATTAGAGGTGACAGGCGTAAATAGAGTGATTTTCATTTTGTGGAACTGTCTTAAATGGTAACACTTCTAAATGGAGATACTTTTAGGATAAAAACATTCTTTAAATGTTATTGCCAATGTGTGTGTGTATTTTACTTTGGTATTTCAAGTTCGGTTTAAAACAAAGTAAGACCTTCAGAATGGTTTTGATGTAATAATATTTCTTCAAATGCAGGTGTGTGTTTGAATTAATATTTTGAAAGAAATGAAAGAAAGTGGCTATACGAAAGGACATAAAGAATGTTAGAAACGAAACTGATATAACTAATATACATACCGAATTTATTGCACAAAAAATTGGTCTAATAGGGGATCTCGTCGCCTTATACTAGACTAAGGAATTTTGAAAACGTGACTTTTTGTGGAGTGATAACGAAAAGGTATCAAACCTTAATACCCCAAATTAACACTTTACATGACATATAAGGTTTGCTCTCTTTTCATTCACGCTCCACAAAATGTCACATTTTTCAAAAATCCTGAGTCTCGTATTTGGCGAACGAGATCCCCTATCTAGTGTAATGTACACTGGCCTAAATTGGCTGAGCAACTGAGATTAATGTATAAATATGTATTTTGGTCTAGATGACATAGACAAAGGATGTTAGTTGCTTTGGGTAAGATGTTATTACCACTCAGTTTGTTTCAGAAGGACTGCGGGAGCCTTTGTACGCTAACTTCAGTCGGGTGGGGGGTTCGTGTCCTTCCATTACAAATCTGCAGGAGTACAGAAAAATATTATAGACTCCCTGAATGTTGTTAAATCGAATGATATGAAGTGTATGAAAAGTCCCACAAATTTACTATCTATTGCTCATATATTTGATATTCCCCATTTTACTATATCTCAGGTGGTGTGAGATATACGCCTCTTAACCCTCCCTAACCATAGTTCTGTTAGACGGAATTTGATACAGAACCCCATAACTCGTGTTACCTAGTTACGCCTTACCACTTCATGAAAACACGTTAGCTTCCTTAGTAATCCATTTCTTTAATTAGATAAACGCTCAAATATATGACATTATGAATCAAATTTTTATGCTATAATTATATGTAGTGAATAATTAAAATATTATAGGAAACATTATACTTAATCTAGAAAACAATATATGCTTGAAAATTACATTAACAAAAAAAAAAAAAAAAGGAAATCTCAAAAAAAATATTAGTAAATATATACGTGACACCCTAATATATAAATGACGTAATAAGTCTTATTGAATGAAACATGAAACATTACAATTGTAATATTTGTTGTTTCTTTGTTCTACTTTTCGAGAACGTAAAAAGAGATCAATGAATGAATCAAACAATAGCTTGTGTGATAAGTAGATGACAAAAAAAAAACTCAAAATAAAGAAACAAAAATCACTCAAAGTACTCACCACTCCGTTTTACGCTGAACTTGTTGGAGGCCTCGAAGAAGTTCGTCGTTGCGGTGTTATTCGTTGTGTTGTTGTTATTATATGTGAAATTCAATTGATGATAATGATCATAGTAATGTTTTCTCTACCTCATTCACAAATTTGTTTGTTCTTCTTCATTCATTAATATATCATTACGTGCGTATGTTTGATTATAACAGGGTGAACCTAAATTATGTCTATAAATTCAGAAACAAAATATAACTTACACTAAAAAAATATATAAAAGTGTGAATGTAAATTTAACAATTTACATAATACTTATCTAATTTTTATAAAGATTTTGATGGTCTTAGAATTGCCCTGCTTAAGGTACGGACATTCTATTTTATTGGTGGATGGGTTTTTAGTGACAGAATGGTGGTTTGTCCGGTAGAGGATTAATATGATGATTTTAGGTTTGATGTATTTTCTGCGAGATCATATTTTATCTAACTGGAACACTATTATTGTCTGGAGGCTGGTTGTGGTGGATTCGATAGAGGCTGCAAATCAATCTAACCCTAATATAATGTTTTGGGTTTCTTATGATGAATTCTGTGGTTATTTAGCAATCCATCCGGAGAAGTATTTTGTTGGAAATTTGGTTGAATGTAGCAAGTGATCGCAGTGGATGCTGAAGCTTTCGTAGTGGCAATGGTGGTGTGATGAATGATTTTAATATTAAGGCTTCAAATTTTTAGTGCAATTTTTCACAATATTTGACGGAATGTTGGATTTTGTTCATTACAAATCATGCGGGGGATAATTGGTTGATAGAAGATGGTATTAAAATGCACTGGTTATACTTGACATCGCACATGTTGGCCCCCGACATAACCAAACAAAATTCGTCTTCACAGTTTGAGCCACGTGAAGAAAAATGTCGGGGGTTATTCTTTTCTTAATTATAGTTGCCTTTGTCACTATATACCACTTTTATTGAATTTTTCCAACTGAGTAGGCTGAATTTCAATGATTATACAATTTTTTAAGAAATTGTATTCTTTGCCTAGGAAAAATACACAATTTTTTTATAAAAACGCCACTAAAACACTTTAACATTATATTTTATTACATTGGCAAATTTAGGTTTATTTGCTAATAATTTCCTTATTTAAAATATGGAATTTGTCAATTTTTTAATTATCAAAATTATTTATCAAGTTTTTTCAAAATTCTTTAACTTTTCAATTTAGGTTTTTGTGTTCTGTACTTCTTGAAAGGCGAGTTGTAAAAGGCCTGTTGCAAATTCTCTTTTCTATACGAAAGCTCTGTACTAAAATTATAGTTGTATAGTAAGGGAATTGTAATTGTCGATAGAGTTGCTTTTGATCTAAGGCAAAGAACGATAGTACGTTTTTAGCGTTGCCACTTAGTTTCAATCGATAAATGTGATGAGTAATTTTGGTCGAATCGTATATTACAAACCAAGTAATATTTTCCTCATAGGAAACAATATTAATTGGAGATCATTAATTGGCAGATTTTGGTCTAAGGACGTATGTCCTTGGCATGGAAAGTGCCCACGGTCTTACCATCACTATCTTCCAGGATATAATAGTTTTGCCCTAGCTTTTCTTTGATCTTAGATTTGATAAAAAGGGGAGATAATTTGGCATTAAAAGCTTTTTCGGCGGAACTTTGAGCGAAATTTCGTCGATAAACTTCTTGGCCAATTTCAAAGGAAATTGGTCGGGCTCTCAAGTTATATTGGTTTTGATTCCTTTTATATGCCTCGGATATATGTCGACGTAAATTATTGCGAATTAAAGCTAAATTGTCATCTCTGTGCAAAATAGCAGATGGTTCACCTAAAAGTTCTAACTTCCGCAACAGTTTGTAAGACGTACCATGGGTAACCATATTAAACCCGAAAAGAGCATGATAAGGGGAATATTTGGTAGCTTGGTGCACAGAGTTTCTCAGGGCACAACTTATGAGACTTAAGTTTTCATCCCATAACCGATGATCTTTCTTCAAAAATGTGCGAATGCCTGCTATTATAGAGCGGTTTACGCGCTCAGAAGCATTCGACTGAGGCGAATATATGGCTGTATAAATATGGATTACTCCATGGGAGGTCAAAAATGCATTAAATTCATTTGATTTGAACTGGGAGCCGTTATCACTTATCAAAGTTTCAGGGACCCCATAAACGTGAAAAATTTGTTTAAGAAGATAATCTTGTATAACTGAAGTTGTAAATTTTTTTAGGGGACAGAGCCAATGAAACTTTGACATGTGATCCAGCACTATCAATAGGCCTATATTTCCATTTTTGCTCCTCGGGTACGGACCCAATATATCAATATATATCCTCTGAAATGGGCGATACGATATTGTTTCCTTACCCATTTCAGGTTTTAAAATTTGATTTGGTGCTTTGGTGCACTTACATACATCACATGACCTAATGTAATCCCTCACATCTTTTACCAAATTAGGCCAAAAGAAATGTCTTCTTATGAGTTCAATGGTTTTAAACATTCCCCCATGACAAGCGATAGCAGAGTTATGGAACCTGAAGATTATATCTTTACGGAGCTGTTGTGGTATCCACAGTTTCCATGCTCTGGATTCTTGTTCACTATCCCCTGTATAATGGTCAGTTCTAATATAGACGTAGTTATCCACTATCTTCATGTCCGGGAATTGGGATTCATTTTTTAATATTTTATCTTTCAGAAATTTGTAGTCTGAGTCGAAAAAATGAGGGGAGTCTAGATCCACTTCCGGTTCTGAGAGCTCAATGGCTGAAATTTCGTTACAATGAATTCTCGACAATGCGTCAGGGACGACATTGTCTTTACCTTTCCTGTGGCTAAATGTGAATTTATATCCTTGCAACTTAAAGACCCATCTTGCAAGGCGGCCAGTTAAATCTTGCTGTTTCATTAGCCACACCAAGCTAGAATGGTCTGTTATGATTTCGAACTCTTGAAGTTCGACATAACACCGAAATTTCTTTATGGCTTCTACAGCCGCTAAACACTCTCTTTCGGTGACACTATAATTCCGCTGTGCGGAATTTAACTTTCTAGACATATACGCGATAGGCCTCTCGTCACCATTTTCGTCCACCTGTACTAATACAGCACCGATTCCATAATCGCTTGCATCACAATGGATGTAAAACTTTTTGGAGAAATCGGGGTTTATTAGAACAGGGGCGGTCGTTAAGAGATGTTTGATGGTGTTAAACGCATCATTAGCCTCATTTGTCCAAACAAATTTCTTTTTTGTGGACAGAAGTTCAGTAATTGGGAAAACTTTTGAAGAAAAGTTGTCGATAAATCGACGATACCAGCCCGACAAGCCGAGAAAACCTCGTACTTGCTTAAGGCTTTTCGGTACTGGCCAGGAAAGAATGGAGTCTATTTTTTCAGGGTCGGTTTTAAGACCTCCATGTCCAATAACGTATCCCAAGTACTTTACTTCTGTCACACAAAATTTACTTTTTGAGACGTTTATGGTCAAATTAGCTTTTCTGAACTCATCAGAAATTCTAATTAATATAGCTAAATGAGTAGGGAAATCTTCCGACACGATGATTAGGTCATCTAAGTAACCAAAGACACATTTTTTTAGATCGGCTGGGATTAGTTCGTCCATGAGACGGCACATTGTTTGTGGGGCGTTACACAGTCCGAATGGCATTACCACAAACTGGTAAAGTGGCCTACCCGGGACTGTGAACGCCGTAAGTGCTTTTGCCTCCTCAGCCAGACCGATCTGCCAAAATGCATCCTTTAAGTCAAGCTTAGATATTATGTTGGCTTTTGGAAGGCGGGCGAAGATTCCCTCAATGCTAGGGAGCGGATACGCGTCTTTCTTTGTGACAGCGTTTAATTTACGAGCGTCTAAACATAAGCGGACTTTGTTCGGTTTCAAAACTAACCGCATGGGTGAACTCCATGGAGAAACGGACGGTTCAATAACACCAAGTGCCAACATTCTGTCAATTTCTTTGTACATAAGATCTTCCACTGCAGGGGAAACGGGATAGAATCTTTGTTTGACGGGCTTAGAATTGCAAACATCGATTTCGTGTTTTATTAGGCTGGTTCGGCCAAGACCTTGTTTCTCAAAGTCTGGGAATAAAGCTTTAACTGCTTCTAATTGTTGAAGTTGGACTGATGTTAAAGGATATTGAACTTCGGACGATTCCTTAATCGGACAAATATCGGACGTTTCTATCTTCGGACGAATATCGGACTCAAAAGCGGACAACGTAGACGCAATTTTATTAGTTTCCTCATTATCAGACGGACTTGTTAAACAAATAGAATCGAAAATATCAGGTGCTAAATTAAATGCCTTCCAAAAGTCCAAGCCTAGTATTAAGCGTTGACTTAAAGATGGTACTATAAGAATTCGGAGGTGTTGATAACGATTTCTAAACTTAATTTCCACATCGAGATAACCACGAACCTTTTGACGTTTGCCATCTGCGGTTTTAACGCATGATTTAAAATCGTGGAATTCCTTATAAGAGGAAAAATCATACAATGCCAAATCGCCGCCTAAGCAACTTACGTTTGCTCCGGTATCGAGCAAACCTCGCTCTACAAAATTTAAAAACGAAACCTTTGCATATAGTCTCTGATCCTGTGGATCATTGACGATGCTTGAAATTAAATATTTTGAACAAATTTTTCTTTGTCTATAGTATCGTCGTAGACGAATTGTAGATCGTTTAGATCTTTTGACAGGATATGTAGAAATATCCGATATTTCAAAAATAGCATTTCTTTTTTGCAAATATTCAGCCCATCGTTGATGATAGGGACGTATGGGGAAAAGTATTGGCCTGTGAACATTATAATTATCTGAACCATTTCGTTGCAAAATTTGTACATATTTATCATCATATTGTTGTGGAAATTCGTGTATATTTTGAGGTGATTCTAAAACAGTAGCGGATGTATCACTACTGTTGTGAATTAGTGGTTTTTTGAATTTGATTGTTGGACAGGAGTTTTGTGAGGATTAAGCTTTATATTAGCACATTTTTCACAGTTGGGTTTATAAGTGTTTTTCGCACCACATCCATAACAAAATATGGATCTGTCTTTAAGACAGTCAACCCATAGATGACCTGGCTCATCGCAATTCCAGCATTTTGGTACTGCAGAAGGAATTTTGATGGCATCGACAGATATGTGATTATCTATATCAGAATCTTCACATAATGGAAATTCTAATTCGGCTATATTTTTTCGTGGGTATGATGTGGTCATAGTTTTGTTTATGACATGTCTTCGACAAGCATCATCATTAAACAAATTCTCTCTCATTTGAATAAGTTTTCTCAAATGAGCCATTGAAAATATCGGTACATACAATAATTCATGCCTTATTTCAGGACGCAAATTCCTTTTAATAATCTCTATCAGTTCTAACTCCTCAATTGGAGTTGTAAGACGATCTAATATCGTGGAAACAGAATCAAAGAATAACTCAAAGCTTTCGCCTGGCTTTTGTTTTCTACTACGAAGTTCTTCACGTATATCGGCATCTGTTTTGAAATCTTTATATTGATAGCGCAATGCCGCACAAAAGTCTTCCCAAACAATAGTTTGCACTTGCTTTCTGTAGCGCCAAAACCATTCTCTGGCTTTTCCAGATAGAAGAATATGTAAGTTTTTGCATATAGCAGAGTAGTCATTATCGAAATTATCAGCTGTTAACGATTTAAGGCGATATATAAATTCTTCAACATCTAAGCCTTTTGCTGACCCATCGAATTGCAAATTCCAATTTCTTATAATGGATGTGATTTTGTCAGTACCGACATAAGAATGACTGCTGATATTTGAAGTCATATGTCTACTACTGTTGGGAACATCACTGTTATTGACATGTTGCTGAACTTGAGTAATATGGTCTATATCAGGCCTATTTTGATTTATAGCAGTATTGTTCGTGCTTAAATTCTGAAAAATTCTCGTTACGCTTAATTCAATCATTTGACTAATTCTATCATAATCAACAATATTATTTTCTACATTCAGTCTTCGTTGTGGAGTATTTTGATTTCGAGTTGGTACTCTACTGGTATTTGGATTAATTGGAGTCATGTTGCCTCCAGTCTGATCATCCGCATTTTCAACGGAATCTCCTTGGTGATGTAAGTCAGGAAGTAAATTCCTAATTGTACTTCGGGTATTGTAATGTTTGGCAGTTGTACCACGCCCTCTACCACGGATAGTATTCTTGGACTTTTGATTAGCTTGGTTTGTACTTCTTACATCAATTCCTTCATGGAGGGAAATTTGCGAGTTTTCATTTTGGGTATGTAAGTTTCGTAGTTCCGATAACTCACACGGTCGTTTACATGTTGGACACTCAGAGGAAGAATAAAGATGTTTTTCTATGCAAACACGATGGAACGAGTGAGCGCATTGTGAAATTATTAAGCAATCTTGATCTTCCAATAATAATTCTTTGCATATAGAACATTGTAATGATGATTCACACGCTGCTGATGCAGAAGGTGTGGGAGATCTTAACAGAGACATGTTGATTTTGAAACAAAATAAATGTATTGTTTTTAACTAAAACCTTACTCTTCAAAATTCTAAACTTTTTTTTTTATAAAACTGTAGTTTATTCATAACAAATTGTGTTTTCATATTCAGTGGTGGCACTAGGATTTATAGGGGAATTATCGAATATAAATGGAAACAAATCAACTGGGCTATGGAAATGTTATAAAAAAATAAGATATTTAGGATTATGGCAAACCGGATATGAAACATGCTCATTTGAATTAATGGTTTCTCTTGACGCTTAATGGACACTAACCACAATCAGCAAGATAATGTATATTCCTATTAACCGTCAAGTACCGATAACTAAGC